AGGTTTTTTTTTTTTTTTTCCCCGAGACCAGGTTTCTTTTTGTAGCACTGGCTGTCCAGAATTTGCTCTGTAGACCGGGCTGGCCTCAAACTCAGAAGTCCACCTGCCTCTGCCCCTTGAGTGCTGGGATTGAAGGCCTGTGCCATCACTACCTGGCTGTATTCTGTACTTAATTAATAAACAGATGAATTTTTACCTGTCCGCTATTATCTTATGAGCCCCTGTTATCTTATGGGTTTCATAAAGGCAAAGGCCAAATATTTATTTATTTCTGTGTCCCCTGTGCTGACTAGAACATCAGTCAGGAATACTAAATAAATGCTTGTTGTGTGACTCAGTGAGATAATGGGCCGTTCAGTCACCGCCCCTGGGCTCTAAACCGCAAGGCAATTAGAACTTGGTAATGGAGGATCAGCTGACACTAACTGAATCTTAGCTTCTGAAGAGAGAATAGCCAGAGGATTTTTTGCTTTTAGATATTGTGCTTCGGGAGGGGCCCAGCCTCCGGAGTGGTTTTGGTGGTGTTTTTTTTTGTTTTTATTTACTCATGGGCACATGTATGTCGTAGTGCCGGGTGGAAGTCAGTTTTCTCCTTCTGCCGTGTGGGTTCTAGGGATCGAACTCAGGTTCAGGTTTGGCAGTAAACACCTTTACCTGTTGAGCCATCTCACTCAACCCTGAAGATATATTTTTGCTTAAAAATTTGACTCTGGTGTGCCACAGTAGTGCACACCTATAATTCCAGCAATCCTCGGGAGGCAGAGGCAGGCAGATCTGTGAGGTCCAGGCCAGCCAGGCTACACAGTGAGACCCTGTCCAAAATAAAAATAAACAAATAAATAAATAAATAAATAAATAAATAAGAGAAGAAAAGCCTTGTGGGGGCGTGGCAGGAAGTCAAAAAGTGAAGACCAATCCAGGGTGACGCCAGACGTGCTGACCTCTGGCCTCCACATGGACACGTGTGTACATATAACTGCATACACACTACACACATATATACACCTTAAAAAAATTAAAAATGCATCCATCGGGATCAGTGACATGGCCAGGCAGATGAAGGGGTGTGTGTTTGTGTGTGTTGGGAGGATTGCCTGAGGCAGAGACAGGAGGATTGCCTTGCAAGTTTGAGACCAGTTTGGGCTACCGTACCAGTTCCAGGACAACGTGGTATGCAAGCCGTGTACAGCACCCACATTGTCTTAGGCAATTCTGAGGTGACTTCAGTGAGGACGCCGTGCATCGTCTCTGTGTAAGTAACCATGCTGTTCCTTCCCAGGCTCTCTCTTTGACAGGGTCTCACTGTGTAGCCATGGCTGGCTTGAAACTGTCTATATAGACCAGGCTGGTCTAACAGATCTACCTGCCTCTACCTCCCACTTGCTAGGATTAAAGGTCTGTGCCATTACAAACCTGTGGAACCTTCAGTGGTTTTGCAGTCTGGAGGCAGCCCAGGGTGTTAATCATTAGCCTCCCAGCAGGTCCAGGAAATGAAAGTCCACCAGCCATACCCTCACTGTGTGATGAAGAACAGCACCTACAGCTGGGTGGGGTGCGTCTGTTAATCTTTCCGGAGTGAGCTCAAGGGTACTTCTTCCGGTTGGTACCTGGAATTCCCAGGATCCTAACTCCTGGATTTTAATTTTTTCCCTCCTCCCATATTGAGAAGCTGTGGTGAGCAACCACAGAACATCCCAGCAGCTCATCCAGCCTATGGGCCAGCTCTGAGGCTTTCTTTGTAAGCAGCAAATTCAGCCCCCAGCACCCTCTTTAAAATGCAAATGATCCTGAGAGGTTCCAAATGATTAGCTGGATTGTGTGAAAGTTTTTCCCAGGCCACAGATAGCCTAAGAGGCTTTTCTAGTGGGTGTGGGGAAAAGAGAGCCCGGAGCTGGGGAGGTTCCCAGGGTACTCACGTTTTTTGTTTTGTTTTGTCTTGTTTTGTTTTTTTCCCCATAGACTGTTTCCCCAGACTGTAGTTGCTGAGCAGTGTTGTGTAGCTAGCCTGGCCTGGTGGTTCAGGCCTGAAACCTTCAGTTGATGCTGAGGCAGGCTGATCATAAGTTCAAGGCCTGTCTGGGCTATATAGAGTGAGTTCAAGGCTAGCCTGGGCAACTAGTTGAGACCTTGTTAATCTGTTGGATTCCCACAGACTCCTACCGACCTGGGAAGTCTGTACAGAGACAAACACCTGAAATCCCAGTCCTTGAGAGAGGAAGGCAGGAAGAGCAGAAGTTTATGCTTATCATTTTATAAAACTACATAGTTTGCATGAGACCATCCTGGGCTAGAAACCCTATCTCAAACTCCCTTCCCCCACCACCTAAGGACCTTTGGAATTTATGCTGTTAACACCCCTTTTTCACAGATTAACAAATGCTGACTGACTAGGGGAGAGTGTCTAACTCAGCTCCACAGCAGTCTCTATGTACTGGCTCAGTGGATCTTCACACTGAGGTTTTATGTCTGTTTGACAGAAGGGTAAACTGAGGAGCCCCTTTTCCCTTTTGTGTTCTTTTTAGCTTGCGCAGCCAGGGTGTGTGTTGGGGAGGGGAAAGAGGAGGGCAAGTGGCCCTTTCTGACCCTCTCCAGAGGACTTGATGAGAAATCTGAAGAGTGCATCAAGCCTGAAAAGTGCTTCAGACCTGACCTGTCCTTTCTGCCCTTAATTGTTGTCTAAAATCCTTTTTATTGAATTATCAGAGTAATGGAAGAGTCAATGAGAGTCATCATGAAGTTCCAAGGCCAATGCTTGCTGGGCAAAAGAAAGCAAAGCCCCAAAGGCTCCCTGCACACCAGCAGTGATATAAAATATGTATTTTTACATAACTGGGAGGAAAAAAAAATAAACGACAAGGCTGACCCATGGGGGGGGGGAAACGCCTCTTTCTTTATTTCTATTATCTTGTTCAGGGCACGATCTGGGCAGGAGCTTCAGTGGGAAAGGAAATACCAGAGCCTTCTCCCTCAGAGCCTCCTGGTGGGCTAAGAAGCTGGGCTAAGAAGCAGAGGGAGCCAAGAAGCAGATATCCAAAAGGTTGCTGGGTGTGTTCTTGGAAGGCCATTAAAATGAAGGGGTCAGCCTGGGGGGAGGGCTGGCAGAAAGAGTGTGGGTTATGTGGGCTAGAGAAGGCACCTCTAGAGATAAGGCTGTGCTCTCTGTGGGCTCAGGTTCACCATTAGCAACATGGGAAATACTGGAAACCTGACCATCTCCTGGGGTGGGGAGATAAGGCTGGGCCTTCCCAACGTGCAACCTCCACACCTCAGTGATTGCTTTGGCTTTGGTCTCGGTGCAGAAGAGGACACTGACCTGCCCAAAGTCACCCAGCTAGTGACTACCAAGCACATCATTTTGTAGTTTTCTAGTTGCTTGCTGAGGTCCTCAAGGCTCAGATTCAGCCTGTAGCTGAGGAGGATGACCTTGAATTTATGATTTCCCTGCTGAGATTACAGATAGTCACCACTATACTGGATTCATTCAGGTGGCACCCAGGGCATGTCATGCATGTTAGGCATGCACTCACAAACGGAGCCACATCCCCAACCTCTGCTTTGTAGCCCTGGAGAGAGAGGTGACTTTGTTCACATGCCACCCAGCATTAAACAACAACAACAAACCCTGATGATGTGGGAGCACATTTTGTATTCCCAGCCTTCAGGGTGCCGAAGCAGGAGGATCCTAAGTTCAAAGCCAGTCTGGGCTGCTTAGGAAGAACTTGTCCACAGACAAACATGAGTCAGTCCTAGTGGTGCACACCTTTAATTCCAGCACCGGGGAAGTAGAGGCAGGTGGATCTCTGTGAGTTCAAGGCCAGCCTGGTCTATATAGTGAGTTCCAGAACAACCAGGGCTACATAGAGGGAGCTCCTCTCTCAAACAAACCAACAAGAACAGACAAGGAGCTGGAGAGATGGCTTAGGAGTTAAGAGGGCTAGCTTTTCTTCCAGGGGACCAAAGTTCAGTTTACAGACCCTACACTGGGTACCTGTAGTTCCATTCCAGAAGTGGGGAAGCTGAGACTGGACAATAGTGAGTTCAAAGCCATACTGGGCTACAAAGCAAGAGCAAGACTATGTCTCAAAAGGGAGGGAGACAGATGTTGGAAAATTAGATAACTAGATGAGCCTGGGCTGGTGCCTCCCTTAAGCCATCGCAGCAATTTCCAGGCTGAGGCAGAAGGATTGTTGAGGCTAAAACAGTTCCAGGCCCATTTGGGCTGGAAAACAAACAAAAATTTAGGGTACAAAACAAAATAAAACAGCCGGAGAGATGGCACAGTCAGTAAATGCTAATGAGGGCAATTCAATCCCGGGACCCTCTGGGTGGAAAGAGAGAACTGAGTCCCGCAGGCTGCTGTCTTATCTCTGCACTGGAGCTGTGGCATGTGCATTTTCGAACACACACACACACACACACACACACACACACACACACACACTAAAATGTTTTTTTAAACCCTTAAGACAAAGTAAACCAAACAAACTCCTCCAACCAAACACAATAAAGAAAAATGAACAAAACAAAAACCTAGATGAAGAGTAAAGTCTTTTTTTGTTTTTGTTTTTTTCTTTTCTTCTTCTCAATGCTTTCTCTTATTTGAATTCTGAGTCACAGTCTGTGTCACTCTTAAACTTCCAGGGGCTGCTTAAAAAGGTCCCAGGGAACTAACTGAACCCTGGACTCTCAGATTCAGGCTCAGGAGCCTTATCAATTGAGCTATCCAAGCCCCCCGAGTAAACTCCTTTGTAACTCCGAGTCTCAGTGGGGCTACAGCACGGACGGGCTAGGATTCGAACGAACGAACGTGGAACAGGAAGCGAGGAAGTCTCCTAAGCCAGGCCCCATGCCACCAGCTACAGACAGGGGTGGAGGAAGGAGAGGGCCGCGCAGTTTCTCGGCTGCCACCTGCAGGTGCGTCCTCAGCCAATCAGCGTCGCCGGGGGCGGCACCTTCGGGCTCACCTGGCGGCCGCAGCCTCTGCCCGGTTCAGTGCAGTGAGAGCCGCGGCTCGTTAGTGAGTTCTCGGCAAGTTCTGCCGAGCTCCGACCCGGCCTAACCCGGCCCTGCCCGACCGCACCCGAGCTCGGCGTTTGCTCGGCCAGCCATGGGAGCCCCGAGCCGCAGCGTCCTGGCGCTCCTGCTCCTGCTGCAGGTATGTGGACCCCCACGCCCCGCTTCGCCGTGTGCCTTTCTGCACGCTGCCGTCCCGCTCCCCTCCTTCCAAGAAAGTTGGGGTTCGGAGGGCAGGCTGGCCCCGGAGGCTTCGCGGTGCGGGGCCGAGTGCCGTGGGGTGGGAGGGAGGGTCAGGCGAGCGCCGAGTGGCCGCCTCTCGAGCCCTCTCCCAGCTCGGGGGCTCCCCACGCTGCGGGCTCCTGGGACCCCGAGCGGCGCAGGGTCCCTGTGTGCTCCAGGGGACCAAGGGGGGCGTGGAGCAGGGTGGGGGCCTGCTCGTAGGAGGGGGCTGGGGCAGAAGTAGCCCGGGAGATCCGAGATAAGGACAGGGATTTGAGTACCGAAAAGCACCTGCCGTGGAAGGAAGGGAGCGCTGGGGACGGGCTCCCGAGGGTGAGAGAGAGGAGCCGGAGGGGGTTGGCGGAGACCCTTCGCGCTCTGCGCAAAGTGCTGTCCGGAAGAGTGGAGGCGTCTCCAGGGAGATGCAAATGGAGCCGGGCAGGAAAGGTGGGCCAGGTGGCGAGGCGGTGACCCCCGGGTCCCCTCCCCCAAGGGTTCCCGGAGTTTGGCGGCTGGTTTCGGAGAGGATGGCGCGCGTCCCGACGCCCCAGGAGGAGGACGGGTTGCCTCTTGGTTTCGGTGTAGGCTGCTGGGAACCCCCTCCCCCGCCCCGAGTCACCAGGTTGCCTACTTTTCTTCCCTCCATCCCAGGCCTCACCGCGGCTCTGCCAGGAGCCGGAGCCGTGCCGTCCCGGCTTCAGTGCCGAGAACTACACGTTTGTGGTGCCGGGGAGGCACCTGGAGAGGGACCGCGTCCTGGGCAAAGGTAAGGGCGCCCCGCGGGTGTGACAGCAGAGTGGGGGTCGGGTAGGGAAGGAGCCAAGAAATTGTACTCCCGTGCCCGTGGGAGGGGAAGGGGCAAAACTCTCCCTTGGGATCTAACGTGGGTTTGGAAGTCTACTTATCGATTGCGGTTGATCAAGGTAGATAATGTCTGGCTGTGCTGTTTACAAGGGGCAGAGAAGGGCCGGGGGTATTTAGAGGTCATCGGTGTCCCTGCAGCTGATCGCCGGAGCCAGTCTATCATTCCAGACCACCGAAACCTGCTAGGTAGGGCCAGTTGAACTGTGTTCCCATTTAATGATGAGCAATAGGAGGCTCAAAAGGTGACTTCATGGGGTCAGCAGGGCAGGGACCTGAACCGGAATTTGACTCCCACAATTTCGGGAATCCTGGAGGAACCGGCTTTTAGTGACTTGTGGTTTTTATTCATAAAGATGAAAACACTTGATACAGGCGTTGCTTTTCCAAGGAATAGCAATACTTGTATTTTATTTTCTTTTTTAAGAGAAAAAAAATGGGAGAAAAAAAAAGACAAAAGAAAAGGAAAAAAAAAAAAAGAGAAAAAATGGTAGCTCTAACTCATTCAAAAACTCCGTATATTTTAAATTTTAAGTCTTCTCTCATTATGATAATCTAGAATTTTCTTTGTGTTACTGTTGGGCATGGCTGGGAACAAGGCAAGAGGACCAGGTTTGGTTTTGTTTTACTGGTTTCCCTAATTTCCAGGTGTTCCTTTTGTACCAATACCACCACCTCCTCTCTGGTTAGGAGTTTAGTTGATCCCAAAAGTATGATGAATAAAATAATAATAATTTTAATAACAAATAATTTTAAAAGAAGTCACTCACACACCTTTCTGGGAATACTTTGACCAAGTTTGTTTACCACTGAAAGGCCACCTGAAAATTCCACAGCAATCATGATGGTGCCTAAAATTTTGTTGTGAACTGTGGAAGCTGTGCTCAGGTTTGGTGATGTGTTTTCCAGAGAACTAGTAGCTTGATCGATTTGCTTTTCTGAGACCTGACCGGTTCTGGGCAGTGCTGTTCTGTACCCCTGAGGTTGGAGTGGCAAGAGATTGCTCGGCCAGTCTCCACTCAGTGCCTGCGGGAGAAGTGAGTTGAGCCTCTGGTAGGTTGCTGAGTATTTCAGGAAGCCCTTCTGTGGCACTTTGGGATAGGATAGTGAGGTGTGCCCTGGGGTGTTTCCGAGGGTGCCAGTGGACCTCTGAAAAGAGGTAGCCATTACTCCGCCTTGAGCTGGACAGGCTTAGAAATGGGAATGGATCCCAATCCAAGTGCTGGTGGCTTTGTTTTCCTGTGGCAGGATGACACAGAGGTGCCTCAGCTGGGATAGTCTTTGTGTGCGTCAGCACTGTGGGTAAAGCCCACGGCCCGCTGCATGTTAGCCGGCTCGTTACCACCAGTTTATTGGGTTTTTTTGAGACAGGATCTCCCTATGTGATGTGGGCTGGTTTGAAATTCACAATTTGATCCTCCTGCCTTAGACTCTGGAGTGCTGGGATTACAAGATCACCTTGGCAGCAGTGGGGCGTTCACTTTGCATGTGCCTAAATCTAGTCACTAATAGCCCTGACTATCAATAATATTATCACTTATAACTGATAGTGCCACCCGTTCACCATTGCCCCGGTGAGGCAAGTGTGTCATTTACCTAAAGCAAAAATGAGAATTTCGTGGGGCGCGGTGGCACGCGCTTGTAATCCCAGCCCTTGGGGAGGCAGAGGCAGGTGGATCTCTGAGTTTGAAGTCAGCCTGGTCTTACAGAGCGAGTTCAGGACAGCCAAGGCTATCCAGAGAAACCCTGTCTTGAAAAACAAAGCAAAAAAAAAAAAAAAAAAAAAAAAGATTAAAAAAATTGAGAACTTCTGGAGGGTAGACGCTGCTCTAGTCCTTTAGGAACTCAGGAGCCTGACTAGAGAAAAGCAAGTTGGACCGAGGCTTGGTGTGGTAATCCACCTCTGGGGGCAGTACTTGGTGAGGCTGAGGTTGAGGTTTGCTGGAAGTTGTAAGTTTGAGGTCAGCCTGGTCTATGGAGTGAGTTCCGGGCTAACCTGGGCTACACAGTGAGATGAGACCCTTTCTAGAAAACAGGAAAGAAAAGAGAGGAAGAAAGAAGGAAGAATTGAAGGAAGGAGTGGTAGGATGTGTGTGTGTTTGGGGAAAGTAGGGTCCATCGCGAAATAGACTGAGGACAGAGGTCTTGAGGTGGGAGGTGAGAGCGGTAGGCTGTGATGGAGGTAGAGAGGTGGAGTGAGTCCTGTGGGAGGCACAGGGAGCCTCAGCTGGTGATTGCGTTGTAAGCAGCAGCCTCCGCACAGCATCCCACAAGCTTCCAAGGTTCCCTGTGGCTGGTTCCAGTTCCCTTTACATCTGAGTCCCCACCACAACTCGACAGAAATCACACATTGATGCCCCAGGAACTGCTCTGTGTGAAAGAATTGCCTTGATTTAGGATGGTGGTGTCACTCTCTTTGGACCTCCTGGGGAAATGGAGGATTGTGACTTTGGCTCCAGGCTCTGCTCTACAGGCTTCTGAAGAGTGCTCCACTGGAGTGTAAAAATAAGAAACCTGACACTGGTGACTAGAAGGTTACAAATTGGGTTTGATTGAACGGAAGACTTTGATGTAGTTTGCTAGCATCCTTCTTAGGCATCATGAGCTTGACGCCACAATTTCAGCCCTGTGGATCCTTTCTCTGGTTTCTAAAATGCAGAACCTTAAAAACCAAAACCATAACCCTCCACTACCCAAGCATATTCTTTGGTTAGGTCGATTGTTTATTTGTTTTGTTTTTGTTGTTCGTTTTTGAGACAGGGTCTCACTATGTAGCCCTAGCTGGCCTGGGATTCACTATTGTAGACCAGGCTGGCCTTGAACTCACAGAGATCCTTCTGCTGCTTCCTGAGTGCTGGGAGGCAGACACCAGTTCTGGCTGTTGTGTTTGTGTTGAGACAGGGTCTTCGGTAGGTCAGGCCAGCCTGGAACTTGTTATGTAGTGGAGAATGGCTAAATTTGTGATCTTCCTGCTTCTGTTTGCTCAGTGCTGGAATTACAAGTGTGCATCACCATGCTGGTTTTTATTGTTCTTAAGCCGATTCTGGTGTTTTGTGTTTTTGTTTTTTGTTTTTTTTGAGACAGGGTTTCTCTGTGTAGCCCTGGCTGTCCTGGAACTCACTCTGTAGACCAAACTGGTCTTGAACTCAGAAATTCACTTGCCACTGCCTCCTGAGTGCTAGAATTAGAGGCATGTGCTGCCACTGTCTGACTCTTTTTATTGTTTTTTAGTGGTATTTTTCACAAATTTTTGTGTCATCCTTTTTGAGGGGCTGTGCTGTTCTCTGTCCATTTCTAGTTTTAGTGTGTGTGCTGCGGAGTGAAGCACTCTTCGTGGTTTACTGAAACAAGGTCTAACCCAGGCTGGTATGGATCTCACAGTGTAGCCTAGTTTAGTCTTGAACTCATGGTGATCCTTCTACCTCAGCCTCTTGAATGCTGGGGTTACCAACAAAAGCCACCAAGTCCACTTTAAGCTGCCTCTTTAGAGTTGTTGATTATTTTCCTTATTATCAGCACAAGCTCTTCAGAGACCCAGGTTACTAGACTTTGGCCTTTCAGAGATACTGGACGAATACACAGGGTTACATCCACGTGGATCAAGAGAAAGAGCTGATTAGCCCTTTAATTTGGCGGCTTCCTCCCATAGCTTTCCTTACGATGTCTGTAGGACAAACAGGCCTATATTTTGGGCCTGGGCTTTGGTTACTTGATGGATTGACCTAGTTCCCAGGCATACACCTGTGTGGAATAAATACACCCATTTCCTCTCCTCTCTGAAGGTTGTGCTGAAAGCAGCCTTGGATGGTGGAAAAAGCAAACATGGAAACTTGCTTTAGGATCACCTTACATCATCAGATACCTACTTCCCACCCCCAGCCTCCTAAACTTTCCCTAATTACTCATGCCAGTGACTAGGGCTCCTGTGGCTTTCCTAGGAATGAGACTAGTGGCTGCCATTCTGTCCTTGCTTTGTTTGTCTCCTGAGGAGTGTGGGCGGTGAGGTCGCAGACTAAGTCAGGCCATTTAAGGAAAGCTGCCTCAGCTCCTGGCCGGCCCTCTCTGCCAGGTGGATATGGAAATCCCTGTTTACTCTCTGGGGCTTTTTATTGGCTGAAATGTTCACCTTGGTGTCTGTTACACATTCCCTTCCAAGAGCAGCCATAGATAAGCCAGGTGTGGGGACAATCAGCTCTTGAAATCTCCCAGGAGCTGCCAAAACCCTATATTCAGCAAGAGACATCATCATAGTCCAGACTCAGGCTTTTGGGGTTTTACTCTGCCCCACCCCTCTCTCTTTTCAGGGCATAAAAGTTTTCTAAGGAGATCAACTCAGTATAGCAGGTCATTGAGAAAGTATAGAAAGATTCAGGTTTGAACTTCGGTAGCTACTCTAGTATGACTTTACATAAGTCAGTTTACTTCTGTGAGACTCAGTTTACCCATCTGTTGAGTGTGACAGTTATATATATTTGTTATGTTATATGCATTAATGCACATTTGATGAGTAAATCCTGGTGCTTGGTGGAGTGTGGGTATCTGGCTGTCCATATTGAGTACTGTTTATGCCAGCACTAGACCCCGGGGTTAAAGTGATAAGTAAAGTTGATACCACTGAACATAAATATGGGGCGAGGGAGGGGGAATGAATGAATGTAAAGAAGGAAAGTTGGTGCGTACCTTTAGTCCCAGGACTCAGGAGACAGAGCCCGGCGGATCTCTGAGTTGCAGGATAGCCAGGGCGACACAGAGAAACCATGTCTCAAAAATGGAACAAAAAAGGAGTCATCAGTGAGATGACCCAGCCAGTAAAGACACCTGCCGCCAAGCCTGAAGACCTGAATTTGGTCCCTAAAACCCCATGGTAGGAGAGAAAGTACTACCAAGGCTTGTCCTCTTTCCTCCACATTCATGCATGAGTGCACACACAGTAAATAAATATGGGTTGTTTTTTTTTTTCTGTGTGTGTTGCTTCTTCCTTTCTTTCTTTCTTTCTTTCTTTCTTTCTTTCTTTCTTTCTTTCTTTCTTTCTTTCTTTCTTTCTTTCTTTCTCTGAGAATGATGGTGCATGCCTTTAATCCTAGTACTCAGAAAGCAAGAGTTCAAAGCTAGCCTGGTCTACTTAGGAAGTTCCAGGCTCAGTAGGGCTATATAATGAGAGCCTGTTTCAAAGAAAGAAAAAAAAGTCTAAGAAACTCCTCCACACCCTGACCAAGGTCCTAATAGTGAAACTCCAGCCCCTCCCCCATCATTGCCATTGCCAAACTCATTCTCCCACTATGACCCACATCTTGATAGCCGGGGCAAGGCAGTTTGTGAAGTTAAAACTGTTGTCTGGACAAACAACTCCAGAAGGGAGAAACTATAGGTTTGCACGTAGCCTCAGCAGTGAGTTTCCTGAAACTCCTATAGAAGCCTGTAGAAGCTTCAAGGATCCCAGCCGCCTTTCACATACACTTCTTGGCTTCCGGAAAGTGGCTGTCTAGTAACTGTTTGAAGTCAACAGTCCGTCTGTTGAGGTCAGTCTCCAGTCCCTCTCTCCTGTCTCCAAGTTGCTTCAGAAGCTTATCAAGAATCATTAAGTAAAGCCAGGTGTGGTGGTTGGCCCCAGTGCATTGTGGGCTGAGGCAGGAGGATCTCAAGTTTGAGGCCAGCCTGGGCTGCCCGTGGAACGCTGTCCTTTTTTGCATTGGTGGGGGCGGGATGTAAAAAAAAAAAAAAAGATGATCATGGCAGCACATGCAGCGGGAGGATTGTTAGAAGTTCGAGGACAGTCTGGATCTGTAGTGAGTTTCAGGCTAGCTGGGGCTACAAACCCAGACCTTGTTTTAGTAGGAGGAAATAGAGAAGAAAAAAAAAGTGGGAAATAATTTCTTAGGGACCCAATAGGCCTACCAGACTGGTTTTGAACAAATGAATGGAGGCACGAAACAATTTTTGCTACCTCAACTCAGTGTTTAGCCTCTCAGGTTTCATTCTGTGTCCCCAGAGCAGCCCCAGGGGTAAGTGGGCAGGGCAGAGCAGGTTGTCTGGACTCTAACTGTTCGTGGGAGGCCTTTCCCAGCTGTCCCTTTGGCCCTCAGCGAGTCCTTGGGGAGATGGTGAAGGAAGCACTTCCTTCTGAAAGCTTCAGAGGCCACAGAAGGGACATCACAAACCTGAGTCTGGAAATGAGCAGTTAGTCTTTTTAAAGTGATTTTCTTCTGCCAATTAAAAAGAAATTTGTGCTTTCTCCTATTTTTCTTTTCTTATTTTACTTTTTAAGATAGTTTCAGTATGTAGCCTTGGCTGTCCTAGAGCTCCCTGCGTAGACCAGGTTGGTCTTGAGCTCAGCCTGCCTCTGGCTGAGTGCTGATACAGAGGCATTTGTCGCTCTGTGCCGGACCTTGCTCACTCACAGGCTGGCTTGGAACTCTTATGCGGCACTGACCTTGCTTACACCTCCTAAGTGTTGGAATTACAGGTGTGCACCACCCAAAGTCCAGGCTTAGAGGGACTTTTGCCACAACTTTCTTCTCTAAGCCTTAGTTTCCCCATCTGTAAAGTGGTTATAACTAACTAACTAACTAACTAACTAACTAACTAACTAACTAACTAACTA